GCTCCCCCCTCCCCCTTTCAAAATCCTGGCTACGTCCCTGGGATACGCATCTGCATTCTGGAATTTCAGCCGAAGTTGAACGCTTGATTACTTTTGCCTTGCCATATAACCTATCAGTATTCCTAGTTGTACGGAATAAATCTGTTTCTGCCATATCTATACATTCTTTGAAAATACCCATGTAATGTACAATTTCATTTTTTAAACTGATATATTGGAGACAAAATTAATTTCATGAATAGTGAAGTAATTTTGCTAAACAATGATCAGGTTGTAACCGCTGTGTTTGGGCGCGTACTTCAAACTGGTTTCAACCACGCGGTGCCTATACTAGTTTGAATACATTGTTTTACGTCTGTTTAAGGCTTAATGGATCTTTACTTCTGGTTAGTTGTTACGTTTGAAAAATACTCCGGAAATGTTTAATGTAAAACCAGTTTTATCTACTTTTTTTCCCATAAAATGCGCGTACTCTATACTTTCCCTCGATGTGGCAGCTATTTTGTTATTTTGCTTCAAATCATCACAATAATGTCGAGCACCGACATAGTTACTCAATGCTTAAGTATATTATTCTACTCTTTGGTTTATATTCATATTATGTTTACTGTTATTTATAACCTATAAAACCTAAATAGATAACTCAAATCTTGAAGAGAATGATTGTTTGTGCCAATAACATTATTGTCATACCATGATCAATACTAAACAAATTATTTCAAGTTATGCCAAAGTTTGATTTTATTTATCTTCATATAGTCGTATCTACTGTGATTGTAATGGAGGCATACTTATAAGTTGCATGGCCGGCGAAACCGGGGGGGGGGCCGCCCCCCCCCCCCCCCTTTTTTGCCTTGGCAAAAAATATATTATGTCTGGAGATTTTTGTATGATCGGAAAGAAATGAAAGAAAAGAAAGAGGGAAGGAGGAGAAGGATGGGAAAGAGGATGTTTATCCAGTCCCCGACCGAGTTACATTTTCTCGCAATTCACATTGGCGGATCTGGGGTAGGGGTCATGGGTCCTGACCCCTCCCTTGGGCAACAAAAAAAAAATTCTAGACCTACCTTTTCAAGACCCGTGTGCTGTTTTTTCTTTTCTTTTTTTTTTTCTTTTTCTTCCCCCTTTTTTTTTTATGTTACAATAAGAAAATTAGAATTTTGAAGAACATTAAAGTCATTAAAGCACACTTCAAATGTCTGGAAAGCTCATTTCCCGCCATCTAGGAATCAAAGTTTTCCCGGGAAAGAACCCCCGACCACCCCTTTTTTGGGGGATTTATCGAATTATGGAAAAAAGAATATGCATGCAACTACTCATAAAATAAAAAATAAGAAAAATTTACCTGACCGTCTTCAAGGGGGGGGGGGAACCTTGAATTTTGAAAAACGTAAAAAGTCACTTAAAGACATTTCCGAAGTCAGGAAAGCATATTTCCCGCATTCTAGAAATCAAAATTTTCCCGGGGGAACCCGGACGCCCTTTTTCTTTGGGGTCCATTGATTCATTGAATTATTTTCAAGAGGGGGAAAACCTTGAATTTTGAGGAAATTAAAAGTAATTAAAAGACACCTCAGAAGTCGGGAAAGCTCATTTCCCGCCTTCTGGAATCAAAATTTTCCCCGGACCCCCTTTCTTTTTGGGATTTATCGATTTATGAAAAAAAATTGTATGCAACTACTCAATATTTTTATGTATGTATACAACACACATAAGGCTTATTTACCGTAATAACAAGTGGAAAAAAATTACCTGACCGGTTTCATGAGAGGAAACTTTGAATTTTTTAAGAACTTAAAAGTAATTAAGACACCTCAGAAGTCGGAAAAGCTCATTTCCCGCCATTTAGGAATCAAAATTTTCCCGGTGAACAGCCCCCGGGCCCCACTTTTCTTTGGAGAGACAGGTTTAAGGATTAATGGATCTTTACTCCTGGTTAGTTGTTACGTTTGAAAAATACTCCGGAAATGTTTAATGTAAAATAAGTTTTATCTACTTTTTTCCCCATAAAATGCGTGTACTCTAAACTTTCCCTCGATGTGGCAGCTATTTTGTTATTTTGCTTCAAATCATCACAATAATGTCGAGCACCGACATAGTTACTCAATGCTTAAGTATATTATTCTACTCTTTGGTTTATATTCATATTATGTTTACTGTTATTTATAACCTATAAAACCTAAATAGATAACTCAAATCTTGAAGAGAATGATTGTTTGTGCCAATAACATTATTGTCATACCATGATCAATACTAAACAAATTATTTCAAGTTATGCCAAAGTTTGATTTTATTTATCTTCATATAGTCGTATCTACTGTGATTGTAATGCAGGCATACTTATAAGTTGCATGGCCGGAGAAACCGGGGGGGGGGGGGCGCCCCCCCCCCCCCCCTTTTGGCAAAAAAAATTTTTTTGTGGGGAAT